ATTGGTTTATTTTAATCATACCAAAAGACATTGTCCTCATGCACCATCCCCTTAATTTTTTTAATCTAATCCTTTAAACAGAAAAGAGGCATCAATGATTGCTGTGAGGAAAGCCCTGTTCCACAAATGTAAATGGGATTAAGTCACTGGAGCAAATGTATTAACAATGCTCTTTAACTTAATCCTGAGATAATTTTCTGCAAGTTGTTTTAATTAACTTCCGCCATCGTTTCTGAGAACATATTTGCACACTGACCACAATGTAGCTACATATGCAGAATTAAGCCTTTAAAATGTTTATTCAAAATGATAGCCCACCCAGTTCCATGGGAGTGGCTCCTTAGTAAAAACACCAGCCTTGAGAAGCAGGTGTACTCATCCCAAATAGTCCCATGTGAAAATAAATTCCAAGAAATAATGGATTCAAATTACTAAAGAAGTTCAATTCAAATAGAACTTCCTGATGGTAAGAATGATTTGCTGGTCATAGGATCATAGAATTATAGAGTTGGAAGAGACCTTGTGGGCCATCCAGTCCAACCCCCTGACAAGAAGCAAGAAAATCACATTCAAAGCACCCCTGACAGATGACCATCCAGCCTCTGCTTAAAAGCCTCCAAAGAAGGAGCCTCCACCACACTCCAGGGCAGAGAGTTCCACTGCTGAACAGCTCTCACAGTCAGAAAGTTCTTCCTAATGTTCAGGTGGAATCTTTCCTGTGGTTTGAAGCCATTGCTCTGCATCCTAGTCTCCAGGGCAGCAGAAAACAAGCTTGGTCCCTCCTCCCTATGACCTGCCCTCACATATTTATACATGGCCCTCATGTCTCCACTCATCCTTCTCTTCTGAAGGCTAAACATGCCCAGCTATTTCAGCAGCTCCTCATAGGGCTTATTCTCTAGACTTTTGATCATTTTAGCTGCCCTCCTCTGGACACATTCCAGCTTGTCAACATCTCCCTTCAATGGTTGTGCCCAGAATTGGACACAGTATTTCGGATGTGGTCTGACCAAGGCAGAATAAAGGAGTAGCATGACTTCCCTGGATCTCAACACTGTACTCCTATTTATGCAGGCCAAAATCCCATTGGCTTTTTTTGCTGCCTCATGACATTGTTGGCTCATGTTTAACTTGTTGTCCATGAGGACTCCAAGATGTTTTTCACACATATTGCTGTAGAGCCAGGCATCCCCGTTATGCATCTTTTTGTTGCATTTTTTTCTGCGTAAGTGCAGTATTTTCTACCTAAATGGTGATGCATATGACCACAAAGGTCTTCAGTTTTCTTTTGGAGGTCTTTAGACAGAGGTTGTCTAACTATCAAAAGTGGTTTAGCAGAGGATTCCTCCATGGCAAGGGTTGGTTTATATGGCCCTTGAGGTCTCTTCTTACTCTATACTTCTATATTCTACTGAGGCCATAAACATTTCAAGTAGGAAATCAATTGTTGTTGCTGCTGTTGTTGTGTGCCTTCAACCTATAGCAACCTTAAAGTGAACCTATCACAAGGGTTTCTTGACTAAATTTGTTTGGAAGAGGTTTGTCTATGTCTTCCTTTGAGGTTGAGAGAATGTGACTTGCCCAAGGGTACCCAGTGGGTTTTTTTCACTCAAACCACTACATCATACTGGAAAATAATTTACTTTACTAGGAGGATTCAAGAGATGTTACAGGAATTAAGTTGATGACCACAGGACACTGCATATTTCAAACCTGTGCCCTTTATGAACTGCCTTGGATAACACAGACCTAAGGAGCAAAGCTTTTTCCACAATTTATCTCCAGAGCATCAGAAAGTTAATGTGAACTACAGCTCCCAGAGCCTGGAGGAATTCTAGCTGTGGATTCTTGAGAGTTGTAATCCAAAAAGGTAATGTGTTGTTGAAGGCTTTCATGGCAAAAATAACTGGGTTGCTATGAGTTTTCCAGGCTCTATGGCCATGTTCCAGAAGCATTCTCTCCTGACATTTTGCCCACATCTACAACAGGCATCCTCAGAGGTTGTGAGGTGTGTCAACCAGCATTGGATGGGGTTATACCCCTTCCCCCTGAATGACTTTTTTCACAGGTTGAGGGTACTCCTGATCCGTCTCTTCAAATGTCAGCCTAGGTAGATGCCACAGGTAGGAGTGCTTATATTACCTTCAGCTGATGCATCAGCTGTGCTACTTTCTAGAATCAGAGGACCTACAAATGGTAGTGCATATTATTATTACTATTACTATTGTTATTATTATTAATTATCCACCTCTCCTAATGACTCGAGGTGGGTTATAATACACGTGCTGGTAACCTAAAGGTTGGACTTCTGCAATGTTCTGTATATTGGACTACCTCTGTATCAAGTTTGGAAACTCAGTTAGTTCAAAACATGGCAGCCAGATTGGTTACAGAAACATCTAGGAGAGAGCATATCACACCTATACTAAAACCACTCCATAGGTTCCCAACTGGTTTCCAGACAAAGCACAAAATGTTGGTTATAACCTTTAAAGTCCTACATGGTGTGGGTCCAGGTTACATACAGGATCACCTTCTCCCATATAGTCCTTCCCTTAGGACACTTCGGTCCAGCCAGAACCTGATTGGACCTTTTCATTGGCTGCCCCAAGACTGTGGAAAATTAAACCATGAATTTTAAATGTGCATCCTATTACTATGTATTTTAATCTTTGCACTGTGTGTTTTAATACATGTATTTTCTTGGATGTATTTTATTTTATTTTGGTGTGTTTTGATTGTTTTGTACCCTATCTTAAGCCATGGGGAGAGGCGAGTAACAAAAAATGTATATTACTAGTAGTCATAGTAGTAGTAGTACTATTACTGCACTAGTTCACATCGTTTTGGCTATGCTTTGTTTTAATTAGTTGTAATATATGTTAAGTCCTGCACTGGGAGAAATGTAGGATATAAATTAGATGACAGATATACAGACAGATATAGGTTTGGCTGCATGATCCCTTACAAAATAGGCTTTAGCCACTCAAGGGGGCTTGAGTACACTTGTCAGCATGAACTGGAAATTAAATGGCTATGCCAAGGGATTTGATATATTGTGGTCCAAAAATATAACTGTTCCAGGCTCTGTATTTGTCCAGGGACCCACCAACTAGTTCAATGCCTATTTATCCCTGGTAATTCAACTTACATTAAAGTGCTACAGTCCCTCCCCTGGGACTCAGTTCTCCCTTTGTTATGTCCCTTAAAACAATTATTTAGTTCTAAAGCATGATCAGAGAAGGAGACAATACTAACACTGTGTTGATAAAAGAACAATCTTTCAAAAGGTATATGTCAGGAGTTCAATATAACAGATATTTCAAAGCCAGAAATCTATCACAAATATTCCTTTTCTTCTTTGGCAACCAATAAACAAATGTGAGAGAGGTCTTACTCTGCAGGAAATTTTAACAGCATAAATGTATCCTATTAAGACTACTGAATGCATCCCATTAAGACTACTATTAAATGTAACATTCCTATTCGGAAACCTGGAGTTGCACGCCGTCCCTCGTGCTGTAGAGGGCGCTCTTGCGTTTTGTAAACATTCACCTCATGAAATGTTACAGCTTTCATAAAAAGAAGCTACATTTCCCCAAAAGGAGCTTTTATTGTTCGTTGCAAAGGCTGAGAAAATTGACTGTAATGCTTTCTATTTGCATCTTTTACAATGAAATAAATGGCAGCAGTAGGAAGATGTTTAGAAATGCAGGCATTCATAGAAACACTCCCTAAAATAAATGTTAACTCTCTGCCTTTGGCCCCCAGTGAACTTTTGGATGTGGTTCTTCTGAGGCCAAAAGTGTGGGAAGCTGATCAAGTGCTGGCATGTTAAAATAGATTAACAAGTTTGTGTGTATATATATAACGTTTAAACATTCAGCAAAGCAATAAACTGGAAAGAACTTGCTGGCTAGTTCTGCTTCACTTGCCCCGAAACAGACACCTTTTGTGTGCCAATCCAGAGGCAAATAACCAATTCTTAATGGATGTCAACTCCCATAATCCCTAACCAAGGCAGTCAAGACAGGCAAAATGGGATTTAGAGTTTAGCAAGAACTGGAGGGGCCTGAAAGAAAGTAAAAAACTTATTGGAAAGCATGACAGGGTGAGCAGGTTCATACTGGACCCTTTTATTTGAGATGTTTACATTCCATAACATTGACAGATTTAGCAAGAGTGGACAAAGTGATCAGGGTTCAATTCCCTTCTCAGCCATGGAAACCCACTGGGTAAGTCACATAAACATAATCCCAGAAAACCCTGTGATAAACCCGCTTTACAATTGCCATAAGTTTGAAAGGACTTGAAGGAATACACCAACAGGAACAACAAACTCAACATATTGGGATGGGGGAAGGATTCTATGGAAAGTTAGGGGAGGGAGTTATTCTGGGGAAAATTATTTAGTGCCAACTGTCTTCCACTTCAGGCTGGGATCCTAAATAGCCACCCTTGGGAGTCACTGAACCCAGCAAGACTTCCACTATAGAATGAATGCAATTTAATACCACTTTAACTGCCCTGGTTCAATGCTATGGAATCCTGGGAGTTGTCATTTGATGAAGCACCAGCACTTTGGCAGATAAGGCTAAAGATCTTGTAAAATTACAACACCCAGGATTCCATAGCATTAAGCCAGGAAAGTTAAAGGGGCGTCAAACCTTAATTCATTCTACTGTATAGCCCAAGGATCCCAGAGATAAGTCCTTTTGAGAATGAGTGTCCTTACACTCCAGAACAAATGTGGTTTGACACCACTTTAACTGCCCTAGCTCAATGCTATGGAATCCTGAGAGTTGTAGTTTGGTGAGACATTAGCACTCCTTGGCAGAGAAAGCTAAAGACATTGTAAACGTCCAGCTCCCAGGATTCCAAAGGACTGAACCATGGCAGTTAAAGTGGTGTCAACCTGCATTAATTCTAAAATGTAGATGCATATACAGGGCGAGAGGCAAGAAATAAAAGCCCAGCCTCAAAATCTTTTGACTACTCACATCATTTTGAAGCCTTCCGGCACAGCGAGCTCCCTCGTCAAAAGCACATCGTCCTGGATTGGGCCTTTCTGATGGGTCACTCAGGACCTGGTCGGAAGAAGTACAATGAATGTTTTTTTATTGGGGAAGGGAAAGGAAATTGAGACTGAAGAATTGGGGAAAAGTAAGCACTAGATAAGGGGGGAAGCCCTGTACTGGGCAGAGCAGAAGGTGCCAAAAGGCCTTGTCCTCCACAACAAAAGTTAACCACTTCTTTACCAGTCCAGACTTCAAGTTGTTTCCAATTTATAAAAACCTGAGCAATTTATAGAAACCCATCAGCCACAAAAGCCTACTTGGGCAACTACATCTATAGTAGTGTAGATTTAGTGCAGCTTGACACCCACATTAACTGCCATGGGTCAATGCTATGGAATCCTGGGAGATGTAGTTTTACAAGGTCTTTAGCCTTCACTGTCAAAGAATGCTCGTTTCTCATTCTACTGCAAATCCCAGGATTCCATGACAAGTCATTGCAGTTAAAGTGGGTCAAACTGCATTAATTCTACAGCATAGATGCAACCTGGGTCTCGGAGAACCCCATGATAGGGTCACCATAAGTCAGAAACAACAACAGCAAGGAGGAGGAGAGGGAACCTGACAGCCTGGTCTCAAATCCCTACTCGTCCATAGAAACCCACAGTGCAGCCTTGGAAACCCTGACAACCTCAAAAGAAAGCACACACCCCTAAAAAAAACTACACAAAAAACCTTGTCAAAACTCCACAATAGATTCCTCCCCATTACTTTCATGTACATTCAGTCACTCCTGATTTAAGGTGATTCTAAGGCAAATATAACAGAGTGGGTGGGCCCTTAGCTTTCCTCAGAGGCTGAGAGTGTGGGACTTGCCCAAAGGCTTTCCAGTCAAGCAGGACTCAAACCTGGGTCTCCCAAGGTCCTGCTCCAACACTCAGTCCACTATATAGAGTTGGTCTCAATCAAATCTTGAGGTCCCTAAATGCTGTGCTTCTCAGACTATAATGAGGATATGTGTAGGTTTTTTATTTTCTTAGTATATTTGTATTCATTGGCTGCAACTTTTCCTCCCTCCCTCCCCCCTTTCCTTTTCCCCCTCCTTTCTTCCTTCCCTCCCTGCTTCCTTCCTTTCTTTCATCCATCCTTTCTCACCTCCTACCTCCCCTTCTTTTCCTTCCTTCCTCATTCTCTTCTTCCCTCCACTTTTATGTTCCCTTCCTTTCTTTTCTCCTTCTTTCCTTCTTGCTTCCTTACTCATCCTAACCTTCCCTTCATTCCTTCCTTCCTTTCCTTCTTCCTTCCTTATCCCCTCCTTCCTGCCTTTCCTTCCTTCTTTCCTTCCTTCCTCATTCTCTCTCTCACACACTTTTGTTCCCTTCCTTCCCTCCTTTCTTCCTTATCCCCTCCTTCCTTCCCTTCTTTTCCTTCCTTCCTCCTTCCTTCCTCATCCTCTCCTTCTCTTCTTTTCCTTCCTTCTTCAACCCCTCCTTCTTTCTCTTCTTTTCTATACTTCTTCATCTTTTCCTTCCTTCCTTCCTTCCTGTCTCCCCCCCCTTTCTTCCCTCCTTCCCCATTCTCTCCTTCCCTCCACTTTTCTCTTCCCTTCCTTTCTTTTCAGGTACCACCAGTCCATGTCTCTGGAGCCAAGACGATCCAGAAACTATCCCAAATGTGTAATACTATTTTAAAATACGTGGGGGACTTGTTCGAGTCCAACAAACCTGCGTGTCTTTCCAGGGCCACAAGAGTCTTCGGGTGCATCTACATGGTAGAATGAAGGCAGTTTGACACTACTTTTGCTGCCAGGACTCAGTGCGATGGCATCGTGGGAGGAGCTGTAGCAGTGATACAACGTCTTTAGCCTTCTCCGCCTCGGTTTGGTGCCTCACCAAAGGACCATCTCCCAAGTTGTCATAGCACTGAGCCTGGGCAGTTAAAGCGGGGTCAAACTGCGTTCAATCTGGAGCGGAGATGCATCCCTCGCCAGTCAACGACAATAAAAAGCGTAACGGAGCCTGCTTCTAAACACATGTCAAGCCCAACTCAGCGCCAAATGCCAACAGATTGGGCTCCTCGATCCCTTTCGCTTTGTTAAACCAACTCACAAATGCATTTCAGTCGGATCAAGAGAGTTATTTAATGTTTTTCGACAGTTCGGAGTATTCTCTCTATTTTCGCCAGGGTAGCACACAAACAAAGGCAGCCCGGTGCTGTCAAAAGCTTCACTCCCCTTCTGCTCGGCTGTCTTTTTCAAAGAAGGATTCGCCCTTCTTGCAAAGTCTCAGCTTGCTGATCCGATCAGGAGGTTTTTGGCACGCCCCACAAAGCGGGACCCCTCGCGAGACAAGGGACCTCCCGGACCTGGACTCCCTTCCGAACCAAAGCGAGCCTGCCTTCGGGCCCTTCCCTCACGCCCACGGGTCACGCGGAAGGAAGGAGGGGATGAGGAAGGAAGGAAGGAAGGAAGGAAGGAAGGAAGGAAGGACAGGAGGAAGGAAGGAAGGAAGGAAGGAAGGAAGGAAGGAAGGAGGAAGGGAAAAGATGGAGAGAAGGAAGGAAGAGGAAGAAAGAGAGAGAAGAGAGAGAGAGAGAGAGGAAGAGAAAAATGAGGAAGGACAGGGACACAAAAGTGGAGATGAGAGAATGAGGAAAGAAGGAAGGAAGGAAGGAAGGAAGGAAGGAAGGAAGGAAGGGGACACAAAAGTGGAGAGAAGGAAGGAATGAAGGAATGAAAGAGAGAGAGAGAGAGAGAGAAAGGATGAGGAAGAATGAGGAAGGACAGGGACACAAAAGTGGAGATGAGAGAATGAGGAAAGAAGGAAGGAAGGAAGGAAGGAAGGAAGGAAGGAAGGGGAAGGAAGGAAGGAAGGAAGGAAGGAAGGAAGGAGGAAGGAAGGAAGGAAGGAAGGAAGGAAGGAAGGAAGGAAGGAAGGGATGAGGAAGGGAGGGAGGGGACACAAAAGTGGAGAGGAGAGAATGAGGAAGGAAGGAAGGGATGAGGAAAAAAGGAAGGAAGGGATGAATAAGGGATGAAAGGGACACAAAAGTGGAGAGGAGAGGATAAGGAAGGAAGGGATGAGGAAGGAAGGGAGGGAGGGGACACAAAAGTGGAAAGGAAAGAATAGGAAAGGAGGGAGGGGTGAGGAAAGAAGGAAGGGAGGGAGGGGACACAAAAGTGGAGAGGAGAGAATAAAGAAGGAAGGGATGAGGAAAGAAGGGAGGGAGGGAGGGGACACAAAAGTGGAAAGGAAAGAATAGGAAGGGAGGGAGGGGCGAGGAAAGAAGGAAGGGAGGGAGGGAGGGGACACAAAAGTGGAGAGGAGAGAATGGGGAAAGAAGGAAGGGATGAAGAAGGAAGGAAGAGGGGAAGGGGACACAAAAGTGGAGAGGAGAGAATGAGGAAGGAAGGAAGGGAGGAAAGAAGGGAGGGAGGAGGAGGAAAAAGTGGAAAGGAAAAGAATAGAGAAAAGGAAGGAAGGAAGGGGGAGGAAAGAAGGAAGGGAGGGAGGGGACACAAAAGTGGAGAGGAGAGAATGAGGAAGGAAGGAAAGAAGGGATGAGGAAAGAAGGGAGGGAGAGGAGGGATACAAAAGTGGAGAGGAAAGAATGAGGAAGGGAAGGAAGGGATGAGGGGAAAAGGAAGGGAGGAGGAAGGAAGGGAAGAAGGAAGGGAGAAGGAAAAAGGAAGGGGAAGGAAGGAAAGAAGGAAGGAAGGAAGAGAAGAAAGAAGAAAAAGAAGGAGGAAGGGAAGGAAGAAGGAAGGAAGGAAGGAAGGAAGGAAGGAAGGAAGGAAGGAAGGGAAGAAGGAGAAAATGAAGTAAGAAGGAAGTGAGGAAGGAAAGCAGGACCGATGGACACCCGCGAAAAAAGGAGCAGCTCACTCCCACCGAGGATGGCTCTCAGGAAAAGCGCCAACCTTCACCGCACCCTCTCCCTATCTCCTCTCTCTCTAACAACATCAAACATTAAAACCGAGTCACTTTGGCCCCACGCGTGAGGCACCTGAGCTTGCTTTTCCCCTTGTGCTTCTGGGCAGCGGAGGCAGGCAACTTCGGGCGCGCCTACACTGTAGAATTGATGCAGTTCGGCAACAGTTTAAGGCTCAACGCTAAGGCATCCTGGGCGTTGACAAGGTCTTTCGCCTTCTCTGCCACAAGGATTCCAGAGCATTGAGCCAGGGAAGGGAAACCTCATTCAATCTGCCGTGTAAATGCACTCCAAATGCGTTTCAATGGGATCTCTATCATAACCGACGATCTGGGGAGCGGGCAACTTGGGCGAAGTGTATTATCTCCTCCCGGGCGTGTTCATGGACAACCAATCCCATCATGCCGTCGCCAGAGAGGGTGAAGTTGTTGTCCCGACGGAGGCAAACTCCAGCCACCGGGAGCAGTTTGGGGGTGGAGAGGAGCCGAGGGGAAAGGGAGTCAAGCCGACCCACCCACCGCCACCCTCCTCTTCCTCGGCTACAAAGCAAGCGGCACTCACCGGGCGCATCGCATCGCTGGCGCCTTCTTCGCAGCAGCCCAGCCGGGCAGGCGAGCCTCCTTCCCCTTGGCCACTCCTCAAGCCTTCCTCCTCCTCCTCCTCCTCCCTCTCCCCCGCCTCCTCCTTCCGTCGCCACCGAAGGAGCGCGCGGATCAAGGAGGGCGAGCGAAGCGACTGCCGGCTCGGAAGCTCAACCTACACCCGGGAGGGAGCCTCTCCTCGCCGGCGCTGGATTTCCCGCCCACCGCCTCTGCTGCCCCCTGCCGGAGAGAGGGAGAAAGAAGGCGCCTCGCCTCTGGACCCTCCGCTGGACTGGACTGGGCAGCCCAGCCCTTCCTCGCCCTTCCAGACAAAGGAGGCTTTCTCTCTTCTCGCTTTCCTTCCTTCCTTCCTTCCTTCCTTCCTTCCTTCCTTCCTTCCTTCCTTCCTTCCTTCCTTCCTTCCTTCCTTCCTTTCCTTCTCTTTCCTCCCTCCCTCCCTCCCCTCCTTCCTTCCTCCTCTATTTCCTTCCTTCTCTCTTCCCATCCTCCTTCCCTCCCTCCTTCCCTCCCTCTCTTTCTTTCTCTCTCCTCTCTCTCTCTCTTTTCCTTCCCTCCTCTCCTTCTTCCTCCTTCCTTTTACTTTCCTTTCTTTCTTTCTTGCTTCTCTTTCTTTCTTTCTTTCTTTCTTTCATGGGGCACCAAAAAAAAGCCTTCCTCTCTTTTCCTTCCTCTCTCTCCCCCTTCTTTCCTTTCTTCCTTTCTCTCTTCCCTCCTTCTCTCCTTTCTTTCTCTATCCTTTCCCTTCTCCCTTTCCTTCTTTCTTTTCCTCCCTCCCTCCCTCCCTTTCTTTCTTTCTTTCTTTCTTTCTTTCTTTCTTTCTTTCTTTCTTTCTTTCAGGGGGCACCAAAAAAAGCCAATGGGATTTTGGCCGGCATCAATAGGAATCTAGTGTCTAGATCCAGGGAAGTCACGCTATCCCTCTATTCCATCTTGGTCAGACCACACTTAGAATACTGTGTCCAATTCTGGGAACCACAACTGAAATGGCTGGAATGGTTGACAAGCTGGAATGGGTCCAGAGGACTGTGACTAAAATGATCAAGGGTCTAGAGCAGTTGTCCTCAAACTTTTTAAACAGAGGGCCAGGTCACAGTTCCTCAAACTGTTGGAGGGCCAGATTATAATTTGGAAAAGAATGAATGAATTCCTATGTACACTGCGCATATCTTATATGTAGTGCAAAAACACTTTAAAAAATACAATAATTCAAATGAACTATTTTAGCAAATATAAACTTATTAGTATTTCAATGGGAAGTGTGGGCCTTCTTTTGGCTGATGAGATAGGATTGTTGTTTTCGTTGTGTGCTTTCAAATAATTTCAGACTTAGGTTGACCCTGAGCGAGTGCCGGGTAAATGACCTTGGGGGGCCGCATCCAGCCCCCGGGCCTTAGTTTGAGGACCCCTGGTCTAGAGAATAAGCTCTATGAGGAGCAGCTTAAAGAGCTGGGCATGTTTAGCCTGCAGAAGAGAAGACTGAGAGGAGACATGATAGCCATGTATAAATATGTGAGGGAAGTCACAAGGAGGAGGGAGCAAGCTTGTTTTCTGCTGCCCTGGAGACTAGGACACAGAACAATGGCTTCAAACTTCTGGAAAGGAGATTCCACTTGAACATGAGGAAGAACTTCCTGACTGTGAGAGCTGTTCAGTGGTGGAACTCTCTGCCCTGGAGTGTGGTGGAGGCTTCTTCTTTGGAGACTTTTAAGCAGAGGCTGGATGGCCATCTTTGAATGTGATTTTCCTGCTTCTTGGCAGGGGGTTGGACAGGATGGCCCACCAGGTCTCTTCCAACTCTATGACTCTATGATCCTTCCTTCCTTATTTATTTGTGGTATTTGTATACCGCCCTGAGTCCCCCTGAAGGGGACTCAGGGCGGGTCACAGTGTTGGTAACAATTCAATAAAAAAATTATAAAACATCAAAATTGACCCTCCCCTGATAAAACATTAAACATTATTAAATACAGCACATAAAATCACAAAGACATAGCCATTGTCTGTAAACAGTTCTGGGTCATTGCACTTTCAACTTTCACTTTATATTTAAATATCCCTATGATGGATTGAACGCTTGGTTCCACAGCCAAGTCTTTAGCTGTCTCCTAAAGGTCAGGAGGGAGGGGGCTGACCTGATCTCACTCAGGAGGGAGTTCCACAGCCATGGGGCCACCACCGAGAAGGCCCTGTCCCTCGTCCCCACCAACCGCACCTGTGAGATCGGTGGAGCCGAGAGCAGGACCTCTCTGGAAGATCTTAATCCACGATCTTAATTCCTTCCTTCCTCTGCTCTGAGCTAACGAGGAAAAGCCACTCATGGAAGAATCACAGAGTGCATCTTCCTTGCAGAATCAATGCAGTTTGATCCCACTTCGACTGCCATGGCTCAAATCACAGACTACAGAGAGAAGCCATTGAAATCCACAAGCTTGTGGTCAATTTCAACAGAAAGGAAGAAATCATGAAGATGAACAAAATCTGGCTGCCAGTGTTGAAAAAAAATTCTAAAATTGAACAGTAAATAAAGAACAATAATAAAAAACAGGGGAATTCCAGACAGG